GTTTCCTCCCATTTAAAAGTTGTTAGGAATTAAATCCTCTACAACATATCAACATTTGAGAGAAATCGACCGATCGCCAAAATCCCATATAAGGTGTGCGAGGTCCTTTCATTCAAAATAGTTGGTTCGTTTTGAGACACCCTGTATTTTTAAGTCCATACCTACAACCTTTACTATTCAAGATACAAATACAAAACTTGACAGTTTTTTTCTATATTTCCTTTTAACGTTATCAGAAAAAAACGAAATTGCATCGGAAAATGGAGAAACGTAGACAACTTCGACTTTTTTTAATGGAACACCCTGTATATTATGCGATAAAATAGAAGATCTTTTCTTCCCGATTCTAAATATACAGTTGTGAGCATTAAAAGTGAGACACCCGACTAACAGGTCTTGTCATTTTTCGCTATTTTGGGTAAATCAGTTTTTTCTGTACAACGGCTTTTTTGTCAGATATGACAATCCCTGTCATTGCCGACGGTGTAGCTGGTGAGTCCGTTTTACAATAGGAAAAATCGGGTGTTCCATTCTTAATGCTCACGACTGTAAAGTGCGACAAGTGAGTGAACCTTGGTAACGTATGAAGTGGCAGAGGGGAAGACGAAAACCTATACTATACGGCGCGACGGGTCCCCGACGTGGTGCATTGCGAAAATTGCGTTTACCCTGACGCGACGATCCGCGTATATGTATATTTAATCTCAGGCCAATCAGGAGGGTTATGCCCGCATTCCTTCCACACAGGTCAGTGTTGCCAGAATTGAAGGATTTCCTTCAATATGAAGGGTTTTGATCTAAAATTTTGACTACTGAAGGATTGAAGGTTTTTATTCGAATTTGAAGGATTTTGAGGCAAATTGTATATTTAGCCAATTTCCCAATCATTTCATCAACACATTTAATTTTTATTAAAATAAATTAATTAGTTGCATGAGAAAAAATACGAAACGCCAATTTCCACTACGTCACTGGGTCAGAATTTATAGGTCTGTTTCTGGCGTTTCTGCAGAAATCACAAACCAGTCAGAGTGAATTTCATTGGTTGAAACTAGTTTTCTGACTGTTTTCAACCAATGAAATTAGCTCTGACTGGTTTGTGATTTCTGCAGAAACAAACCTTACAATAAATGCCTCATTCTCAATTGCGCGAAATTCGCTTTTTTTTTGACATTGCTTCGACAATTTGACGTTTTATGCGTGTATCAAACGTCAAATTTTCGAAGCAATGTCAAAAAAAAGCGAATTTCGCGCAAGTGAGAAAATTAAGCTTAAGGCTATGAGTATTTTGTTTGTTTTGTGTTTTTTTTTTTTTTTTTTAACAGAATTTCGTTCATGTTATAGTATTTTTTTTGGTAGAATATATCGTTGTGCTGCCTCCCCCCCCCCCCCCCCGCCACTGTTTTGAAGGATATGAAGGGTTTTAGCCACTTAGTTGAAGGAATGTCGTCGAAAAACTCTGGCAACACTGACACAGGTTCACTCACTTGTCGCACTTTATATAGGTAGGTCTGCTTCTGCAGAAATCACAAACCATAGTCAGAGTGAATTTCATTGGTTGAAACTAGTTTTCTGACTGTTTTCAACCAATGAAATTCGCTCTGACTGGTTTGTGATTTCTGCAGAAACAGACCTTATATATTGATCACATTTGAGTAAGCCATTTTGGACATATCTTAGGTTAAATTATAAATAATTTGCACAGAAATGCCATAATAGTCTAGGAGGCAGTGACGATTTTCGGCACTTATTTTCCCAGTCAGACAACATGGATAGAACTGTAGGGTTAGTAATTCTAAGCAAAATTCATATATTTTTAGGGGGGGTTTTCCGATGGGTTGAGGCGCAAAATGCGTTAAAGCTTACGAATGCGCGACCCTTTTTTTTCAGTGATAAAAATAAGTCTACTAATGAGAAGTATACTGAAGTTATGCAAAAAAATAGTTCGGCTAATCTGTGAGTATGGATAATATGTCTGGCAAGTGAAAAATTTAGGATCGAAAATTTTCAGCCAGATTCACTCTCCACTATCTGAGATGAGCCAAATTGCTATTATCATATACTTTATGTTCTATTGTAGTAAATGTGAAATATTTATGTCTGGGAAAATAAGTGTACTTGTATTTTTCATTGATCTTGTGAACCCATCCGAAAATTTTAGCCAGACTCAAAAATTCTTGTTTTGTATCACCAGGAGAACAAACTATTCAATAGACTCCAACTGGGAAAATAAGTGCTAAAAAATTTCACTGCCTCCTGGACTATAAGGATCTCTATCTTTATAAAATGTCTTTGCAATTTATTTATAATTTAAGCTAAGATATGTGAAAAATGGCTCACGCAAATGTGATCAATATATATATATTTGGAATCAGGAAGATAAGATCTTTCATTTTATCGCATAATATACGGGGTGTTCCATTAAAAAAGCCGAAGCTGTCTACGTTTCTCCATTTTCCGATGCGATTTTGTTTTTTCTGATAACGTTGAAAGAGAATATAGGAAAAAACTGTCAAGTTTTGTATTTGAATTTTTTTTCTATCTTAAATAGTAAAGGCTGTAGGTATGGGCTCAAATATAATCAAATACCCTGTACATATACAGGGTGTCCCAAAAAGATACCGACAAACTTTAAGGGGTAGTAGGGGACATCAAAACAAGCATTTTTGTTTATATAAACATATGTCCGCAAATGAGTCATTTGGGCTGTAGAGCAAAAAAACTGTTTGGTATCTAGTTTTATTCTTCGCAATAATTAAATCACTATTTACTTATTAATTTTGCTTTAATAGCGCATAAATTAGGGTTTACAATAATTGTTCAACTCGCGAACTATTTGGAATATTCCGCGAATAGCTTCTACATGGGTACAACTCGCCAGTATCCTTGCTATCAGATCTTCCTCATTACGAACAGGTGTTTTGTAGACTAAACTTTTCAGTCAATGACCCGACCGACGGTGTAATCTTTGCACTGGAGTAAATGGTCAACAGTTTGAACAATTCTTGTAAACCATAATTTATTTGATAATAAGGCAAAATTAATAAATAAACAGTGATTTAATTATTGCGAAGAATAAAAGTATCAAACAGTTTTTTTGCTCTACAGCCCAAATGGCTCATTTGCGGACATATGTTTATATAAACAAAAATGCTTGTTTTGATGTCCCCTACTACCCCTTAAAGTTTGTCGGTATCTTTTTGGGACACCCTGCATATACCTACTCCAATATTTTCAATTTTCCTTTGACTTTGACTTTAATTTCCACAAAATTTTCTTTGAAAACATTAGTTTCGGTATCCTTAACAGACAAAAAATTCTTCCCTCGTTCTTTCACCTCTACTAGAAAAATGCTTTTTTCTGCGATTGACAAGAAATGTCAGCATTTTTGACCGGTTGACAGGTCGCGAAACTCAATATTCTGGTATTTTAATTATGTTTCAATAGTTGCTAAGGAATCAATGAATAACAATACGGGAATCACTTTCCCGGCCTTGAAACAAAAAGACAAACATTTAACAGATATTTAACCGATCGCAGAAAAAATAGTATGTGTATTTCGGTGGAAAAGCCAATGACCGGAAAAGCACATTGTCGGCCTTCGGTGTTTGCCGGCCTCGCCCGTCAACTTACACCGTTGGCCGAGAATGTGTCACTTTTCCACCTAAATACACAATATACTATTGGCGTCTATGCATGTGTATCGGTCTATCGGAGGCGTGCAAAATGATATGTCAACCATTTTCATGAATGGCATTGTGTATTATGTATGAGAAAATAAGTGTGAGAAAATAAGTCCTCTTCAATTTACTATATTTTTTTTTTTGTAAAACGTAGCGGAAACAGTATGTTTCGGAAAAACCAAAAAAAAAAGAACGACCTTTTGGAGACGAAAGGGGATCTTCCAGTAATTTTATTGGAAAAAGTTAGACCCATAATAAGCAGCCCTTGTGCTACCAGAAAAAATAAATAAAACAGAACTTGTGTCGGAGTTTGCAAGCTTCAACCTCTCTTTCCTGGCATATATTAACATATTATATTTTTTTTTAGGATTTGATGGAACAGCTTCTATATCTGGACCCAATGCTTCTTCATATCAAAGCCCTTATTTTAATAGAACATATTCATTGTATGGATCCAAAGTAACACCCTCTGTGGATGCTAGTCCCTTTACACCAACCCGCCTTGAAACTACTGGATCATCTTCTTTCCTAGCAAATAGAAGTGGAACAGCTACTGCATCAAGTCCCATTGTGTCATTTTCATCAGCTTTGCCTCTTAACCGCTTAAACTATACCGGTGGTTACACTAGTCCTTATAACAGAGGCGCTTATGGAGGGAGCCATTCTACACTTGCTGTTCCAAATCAAACTAGTTCAGCTACTGCCAAAACTAATAATGCGGTTCCAACCTATAAAAATCAAAACGTCAAATTAGGCAAAGCTTTACTAATAAATAATGTTAAATTTATAGAAACAAAAGATGAGAGGCAAGGAGCTAAAAAAGATTCTGAAGACTTTGGGAAATTTTTGAAAAAAATTAACTTCGACGTTGATCATAAATTGAATATGAAAGGAAAAGACATGTTGAAAAAAGTTAAAGATTTTAGTAAATCGGATTTTTCACGGCACGACATATCTTTAGTAGTTATTATGTCTCATGGTAATAATCTAATAAAAAGTGGAGAAAGGATTAGAGGTGGATTCACACAAATTGCTGGAACTGATAATGAGCCTGTATCCACTGAGGACATAATTGAACAATTTGTGGCGACAAGTAGTCATCCTAGTCTTAGAGGAAAGCCAAAGATTTTTATTTTTCAATGTTGCAGGTATGATGAATGGTTGCAAAACTAACCACTCTCACAAAGTTCATCCTCTTGACAGTGTGACAAATTTTTTTAAATGGAACATTTATCTTCCAGATAGAAAATTCATAGTACCCAAGAATTAGGTGAGGTGTACCATTCATCCATTGCTCTCACCTGTTTTAGGTAAAAGCAGTGGACACCTAAAGCTTCTACTCACCGTGAACATTCCACATGGAAAGTATTCCAATTAGGTATACATACTCTGGGGCTTTTGAGAACGACTAAGGCTCTTTGGAGAGATAGTATAAACTGTCTACTGCAAAAAAAGCCTGAAAGGAAATTTGAAAAGCTCCACATCGAAAATTCTTTCCAATAAATTTGCCAGAAACCAAAAACAAACAGCTGTCTTAAACAGTGGCCAGTTTGGATCTAGAGCTAGCTTGTTTCTTTGTTTATCTCAAATGTGCAAGGGGAAAGCTTTCTGAGTGAGGACTCTCGATATGCTAGAATTTTATGTGAAGCTCTTCAGAGTGTATATCCATGTGCACAGTAAATTTTCATTGATACACTTATTTTGTCCCACAACCTGACAAGCTGTTTTTGAGATGTTTTGATTGAGTAATCAGTTTTTCTTTTTTTCAGAGGCGAAAAAGACCAAGAAATTTGCCACGACGCAGCCCCAATAGGAAAACAACTGAAGGAATATTCTGACATACTTGTTGCATATTCAACTTTGCCAGGTAAATTTTACAATAAAGGAATTATGAAAATTTAAAATATGATTTTCAGGGTACTTATCAAATCGTGACCCCAAATCTGGGACTTGGTACATACAAAGTATTTGCGATGTATTTCAAAAACATTACAAAGACCATCACATAGAAGAGATGCTCAAAATTGTTGATCATCAGCTATCATTGAAACATCCAAAATTTACACAAACTTCCACTTATGAAAGTAGGGGATTTAAACAATGTTTTTTATGTAAAAATTAGTCTAATTTTATAAAAATAAAAAAATTAGGATAAAATGTGACTAAGATTGTAATAGGTTTAGAGAAGGATCAGTTCCTAAGTATAACTGTGTTATAAGGCTCAATATTAGAGTTAGTTATTAGTTTAAGGGCCCGTTTATTCACCTTCTGATAAACTGTCAGGTATGCAATCTGTCGGATAAAAACGCAATCTGTAATTCCATTGGTCGGTCAGTTGTTTGTCGACCAATGAACCTGAAGATGAATAAACCAGGCCAAAGTGATCAAAATATGTTACCAGAGAGTCTATAATTATTGGTTATTAATCTATGTTGTAAAATGCTAAAGATCAGTATTTATTTTATCATCTAGTTTTGTAAAAGTATACTTCAACATATGTATTTTGAAATTATACACGTATTCCATAACATATTCTCAAACAAAAATAAAATATCTTTCCTCAAGTTTTAGTATTATTGCAGAAAATATTTACTTGACTCCATCTCTTATTTTTAATGTCACCATAAATAATTTTCCAAACTTTCTGTTTAAAATGTTGAAGAACAAAGGCTTAAGGAATTATTGAATATTGACTATGGCTAATAAAACAACAAGAAAAGTGTGCAAATATCAATTTAATTAACTCAAATCAAAAATACAGTAAGTGATGTTAGCTAGGTATGTATATCAATTGTGTTATTGTTATTAGTTCAAAAAACAATTATGAGTTTGCAAAGGTACTACTTTTGTAGAGGTATTTATATTAAAAGTATGCTGCCTTCTGTTATAAAAATAAAATTTTAAATTCAACAAACATAGTCAGACATCACTTAATTTTTTTCTTTAAATAAATCCAACATAAATATGTAATTGCTATTTACTTTCCAGTTAACATTTGACTTTTCAAATTAACCATAAATTATTCTTCAGTCAATCCACAGTTTATTAGAAAAATTATGGTTCATTTTTCAAATTTGTCTTGATGAATATTATCTATCGCTAGTGTCAGCTAGTAAAACTGACGAGGATATGGCCATTTTGGTTTACTAGAACTAAATTTATCTGGCTCCAAAATAAATTAATAACCATAGCAGGTCATTTTCCTACAAATGATTCTCCCATATTAATTAATGGGGTAATTGTGTTTTTCATCTAGCACTGAAATTTTGTACCTACTAGGTGATTGGCTGTGCTTTGTTCAATTGAGTCATTGCCAAAGTTGTTTTTTTTTTTATGGCACTGTGGATGGCCTCAAGTAAAAATAAATGGTAGAAAAAATGGTGCTAAGTAGGAGGTACCTAAAAATTTAAGGAGTCAAATGTTAATAAAAAAAATAGGAAAGGTTACTTTTTCAAAGAATATCCTATTATATAACAATATTTCTACTCTAAAACTAAACTATCTTATCCAAAACATGGTATCACAAAAAAAATTTTTGGTTGCTGCACTAATTCTAATTTGTCACAAATTGTAGATGACTTTCAGTCGTACTGTTTAACTCTAATTCCCTCAACATTTCATCAGCTTTTTCCAATAGTACTTCTGTAAAAAAATTAATTTGAGTCCCAAAAGTGTATTCTTCGCTCGTGAATTTAAATCTCAATCCAAGCACTACATTCAAAGCTGACACATCATAAAAATGGCACCCCGAATATCTGTAAGATGGCTTTTTATCAAATCTGCAACCAACTGATTGCGCTCCAATAGGGAATATGCAATCTTGTGTTAGAGCACATTGCACCCAAGGTAACATTATTTGTTTGTGAACTTCTGGTGTGTTAATTAAAAATATTACATTTGCTTGAACCATTTGTAAAAACTGAAAATTTTCTGCATCTGTCCGGAAATATTCGAACATTTTCTTGTGCGTTAAACTGGTAACAGGACTTTTTGTTTTTAACATGAAAGTCAAAACTCCTTGTTTTAGAACTTGATTCTCATAAATATCCATAATCATTGATTGTGTGACATCATGCATAAATCTATAGTTGCATTCTATAAAGAGTATGGCACCTGTATGACTTAAAGCATCCTGTATTACCACAGGTCTGTAGGCATGTAACTTTTCATCCAAAATGTGAGAAGGAAAAGTATATAGATCTAAAGTAATAATTTGACATCTAGAACTATTGCAATAATTCTGTAATATTTTTAAACCACCATCCGTAACTCCTAAATTATAAATTAAGATAGTGTTGTTAGGTAAAACTCTTGGAATGTTGGCAATAAATCCAACAGCTTGACTTTCTTGTCCTTCCAGCACATAAGTAACTACTACGGGTAATGATGTATTTCTCCATATATCTTTTGGATATAATCTAGGATTTTCTTCCGAGAAGCCTAAGGAATCTAGTAATTTTTGATTGGTGATTAATGTTTTAGTTTCTGCGTCTCTTAAGTTATCCTTAAAAAAAAACCGATGAAATTAACATGGTGAAACTTAGTATTATTGAGAATATATTACCTTAAAATTTTGTATTTGTTCATTTGTGCTCGACACAATATTTTGTATAGCCTCAGGTTTACTTTGGCCAAATATGATAAACACCAAACTTATAATAATGATCACACATGATGTTATTAGGAAATTTTTAGTCCTCATTTGCTATACAATAGATGGATTTGTTTCATTGCTTCAACGCAACTCCAGGGAAAGAGTCACCAGTGATTTAAATCTGAGAAGTGTCTGTGACGGTCTGTGGTTCATAATCTTTGAGTCTCCAGAGAATTGGGTGCTGTGTGGGTCTAGAATAGTAATAATAACAAACTGAAGTTTTCGCGGGGCAAGAAAAGGCATTTCCTCAAAAATCTAGAAAACAACTAAAGTTATTCCAGGAACAGGAATATAATGTAGAACGTAGAAACCTACTACTACGGCTTTATGAAAAAAAATAAAACTCACCACTCACCGCTCACCACAGGTTTTTTACATATTTTTTTAAATAAGAAAAAATAAACAAATAAAGTTCCCACTACTTTCGGATTTTTGCTTTTTGTGTTTGACTTGACACTTTTCTTTGACGTTGACGAAAGCCAAGGATAATACACACTACTAAGGATTGCTTATCGGCTTCGTTTTTGGTAATCGCCGCCATATTGGTGTGTCACCATTTCCGACGTCATTTATAAGTCGTCAGCTGTTTGCACTAGCGGTCATAGTTTCAAGTTCGAATTTATAAAGAAAATTATTATTCAATTTTGATTAACATAATAGGCATTGGCTATTTTCGATTCGCTTTGGTCCGTCTTCAAGACCAACCAAATTAGACCCAACCGTTTTCGATTGCAAACCGATGAAGTGACAGGCATCGCTTGGTCCGTCTAAATTCGAACCAGGGCTGGGATCACGACAAGTAGAATTCTACTTTCATGACGTCAAGTTCCCTGCCAACCGTGTCATCATCGTCTGTACTGTACGCGATAAATAGGTCGCGGGTGACGTCATGAAAGTGGAATTCTACTTGTCGTGATCCCAGCCCAGCTTCGCGAGATGATTCGAATTTTGGTTTAAATTTCAGTTTGCTTTTATAACCTTAAAACATGGGGTCTTTCTTTACAGACCAAAATCAAAAGCGGTCAACCAACTTCTGTCATATCCGAACCAACCAGGCCGAACATGGTTGCGTTGCGAATCGAAAACGGCCAAAGAGGAAGATGAAAACGATATCTAAAAAAGAGTTCTTTTGGAATGTTAAATGTAGTAAAACCAGGTATGCGCGGAATCATAACCTGTGCTGCAAACAGCCTACGCCAAGGCGAGAAAGGACATGCCGCCACGTCACAACTGGTGATTTGGCGTGGTGGGGGGGCTTCAGATTTGTTACACACGGCCTTATGAGGATAGGCTATCCTGTAGTATATGGTAGTGTGAATTATCCTTGGACCAAAGGTTTGTCCTCACAAGAGTCTCTGACACCTTGCAAACTGTCAGATCGCGGGTGTGTTCGGGGAGCCGTGTATGTATCGCCATGATCGCTATCAACTTAAACGCTATTTTGCCTGTTCGGGGAGATGCTAGAACATTGGCGCTGTCAAGCTCCGTGAACAGTCGTAGCGCGGTTCACTGTAGCTACAGTGACTCTATTACCACAGTGGCGACAATTGCTGTCTTATTTTTTATTGGTTCTAAAATCCCATATATTTATATTGTAAACGCCGCCATCTTGTTCCCAGCCTCTTGTTACTTTTAAATATGAATATATGGGATTTAGGTGAACATTCATCATAAATCATGAAAATCAACGTATTTGATGGACCTAATAATGGTCATCAAATACGTCGATTTCAATTTTTTATGATAGATGTCCATTTAAATCCTATATATTGATATTTAAAAGTAACAAGAGGTTGGGAACAAGATGGCCGCGAGACCTCTATTGTCGCCACTGTGTGTAAAGGTTTATTAAGCCACTGTAACTGTAGCTACAGTCTACAGTGGCTAAATGAACCTTTACATATAGTGGCGGCAATAGAGGTCCCGCTACTTTTAAATATGAATATATAGGATTTAAATGGACATCCATCATAGAAAATTGAACACAACGGATTTGATGTACCTAATTAGTCATCGGATACGTTGTTTTCAATTTTTCATGATGGATGTCCATTTGAATCCTATATATTCATATTTAAAAGTAGCAAGAGGTTGGGCACAAAATGGCGGCGTTTTCCTTATGAATATATGGGATTTTAAAGAACCAATCAAAAAGAAGACGGCAATTGTCGCCAATGTGGTAATAGAGTCACTGTAACTGTAGCGTGGTATGGTGTAGATGCAAGGATATTACACGTGTAAATGTTTAGGCGTATTTTAGCGAGAGTTTTAACCCAGTAGTATGTTATATTTACTTGGGATACTACATTTTAGCGAGCATGGCTAACATACTATGACGTCACAACATAAAACACAACATAAAACTCGGCTGTAAACATGTAAACATCCTAGGAGGGATAGTTACTGGTTGTAGTATGTCAGTGCATCTTTTTCTAATACACAAAAATGAGCATATGGGCAAAACATCAGCTGATTACGCTACGATTACCAACACAGTTCTTTCCATTATAAATAGAGGATTGTTTTTCCACATTTTGCCATGGTTTTCTGTGATTTTATTTTAAAGTTTTTTTGCAAAAAAAATTAAAAATCTTTACTTGTGCACAAAAGTGTAATTTTATTTTTTTTTTGGCATAGGGTACCCATAAAATTCAAAAATACCACAATCTATCGAAAATCATCACTGGAGAAAATATTGAAACTCGAAAACGCTAAATTTTACAAAATTCAACAAATCCAAATAAACAACGATCATGGCGTCCTCTCTTAGACCCTTTGTCAAATACACTCCACCTGTTATTTGGGTAACTATGACGTCATGAATCGTAGTATGTGTAGTATGATGTTTACTTGTCGCTAAAATACGCCTTTTGTTTTAATTTCAAATTTGTTGACCTAATCAAAAACAAAATCAACAAAACAACACAAAAATCACTGAACAACAACAAAAATTGACGAACTACACCAAAAATCATTAAAAAATAGGAATAGGTCGAACGAAATCAAAATACACTGTCCACGGAGGCTATGTGGCGCTAAAACTATCAACTACCCTAACCGCCCCTTCCTGTTTGAAAATTACATTTCATAGCGTTGACGATGACGTAGACGACGGAAAAAATGACGCAATTCAAGCGCTATAGTGCTACAAAATTGCTCATCGAACAGAGAGTTGTTCCAGATGGCGCAAATAGCGTGCTCTCCGAACACGGCCAGCATCGCCCAAGAGCCAAAACGTTTCGAAAAATATCTATGGCCTGGCCACTTCTAGCTAGACTGACTGGATTTGACACAGGAATGCGACAGGTAATTGCAGAATCGTGAACTAACAAGATTGCTCATCCTCATCAGGCGTACGTTCGCCAAATCTCGAGTCGGCAGGGCCTGCGAGTGAAGTCACCACTATAGGCAGCATAGCATTGGATGCTTGCGATTCAGGGTTGTGCTCGTTTCTTCGTCGATTCTAAATGTAGAAACTATATTGATTTTCACAAGATTATAACGTTTAGGAATTCGTTTTTTGACCTATACTGTTTAAAACTCGGCTAATGCATTTTACGCCAACACGTTTTTGGGATGTTTGGTCCTTTTGTAGGTTCAAACTCCAAAAAGGTCAAAATCGGATTGATATTTTTCGAGATATTCAAGAAAATCTACGTAGGGCTATTTCCTCGGATTTTTCTATCCATAGCATAGCAGGACCTACGTACTTTGACAAGCTTTATCTGTTATCACAGACATACGATCCCCTGTACATTTCAATTTTTTTTTGCAAGGATGATACCTTTAAAATATTGAAATTTGGTTGAAATTCACGGAGGCCTATTTTCAATGTTAATCGTGCCTCTTTCTTTAATAAATTCTCAAAATTCAACATGGCGTTTTCCAAAATCAAACCAGTGCATGTGTTTGTTTCCCATTGGAAAATCAGAGCAACGATTTTTGCGAGCTCTAGAGTGCGTCTGACAGTGCATTATATGACGGAAAATGTTCATAAACCGGTGAAAGTCAACGCTATAGTGACTCTATTATCACAGTGGCGACAATTGCTGTCTTATTTTTGATTGGTTCTAAAATCCCATATATTTATATTGAAAACGCCGCCATCTTGCTCCCAACCTCTTGTTACTTTTAAATATGAATATATGGGATTCAGCTGAACATCCATCATAAATCATGGAAAACCAACGTATTTGATGGACCAAATAATGGTCATCAAATACGTCGATTTCAATTTTTTATGATAGATGTCTATTTAAATCCTATATATTCATATTTAAAAGTATAACAAGAGGTTGGGAACAAGATGGCGGCGGGACCTCTATTGTCGCCAATGTATGTAAAGGCTTATTTAGCCACTGTAGTATACACTACTACAAGATTGCTCATAAGCCTCGATTTTTGGAATCCAGGTCATATGTGGTTGCACAGTTGCCGACGTCATTAACGATGTCGTTAGTTGTTTGGGCCAGCGGTCGTAGTTTAGAATACACTTTTATGATAAAAAGAATTATTTAATTTTGATTAACATAATAGGCAAAGAGGAAGATGCAAACGACATCTAGAAAGGGTTGTTTTAGAATGTCAATTATTGTAATGAAACCAAGTATGCTGAGTACACTGAGAAAAACGCGTTAACTAAGCACGTGGGTTGAATTTTTATAGTAGTCATTACTAGAAAAATAGTTATCACGACCACTTTGGTTTTGTTATTGCAGCCATTCCAAATTAGTTGTACTCTGGAAATCATCTTAACTGACATTATCAGTTGTTAGGACTAAAAATTGTTGTCAAAACATAGCTAACTATAATTTTGGTTGTCACAACATGTTGTGATTACTAATTAAGCTAGTTAAATAAAAAATAACCAAAATATGTACCTATTGATACTAAAAAACCAGTTGCAGCAACCTAGTTCTCACAACTAGTATTTCTTAGTTAATTGTACGGACCAATGGAATGCAGCGCTCATTTCCCCACCAGTGCCGATCTTGTTTTTGCTTCCGTACTTGGCCACGAGTCGCCTGCGTGTATTCAGTCAGTCAGTTTCAAACGGTCAGTTGATGCGCAGAATTGGATGGTCGATATAGGAGTTCGGGAAAACGCAAAAAACGTCGTGTTGGTGATGTGCGCGTGTACTGTGAATTCAGTGTATTGAACTTTATAAAAAAATAATAATTGACAATAGAAAACCACCTGCCACGGGCCTCAAAATGGACATATACTCTAATGTTATAGTTGACTAATATATATTAGTCTATGTTGACTAGTTAGTATAAAAAACTGATTTATGAAGTTAAAGCGCGAGTTAATATCAACATTATACGTGTTTTTTCTCTTAGAAAATTGTTTACGTTAAGAATTAATTTTGTGTTTATCCTCCATATTCACATGTACTGTAGTTTGGAATAAAAATAATTATTAAAAACAATATGTTTGTG